GGTGACTCTAGGGTGTTCCCTCAAATATAATTAACTGTCTTTTTCATAATTTTATATACGTTGGATGTCATAAACAGCTAAATACTCTATGTAACAAAATTTATATTTAGTGCTACCAATTATACATTATTATAAATAAAACCGAAAAGGGTGCTACCAATTATACATTATTATAAATAAATTATTATTATTATTATTATTATAAATAAATTATTATTATTATTATTATAAATAAATTATTATTATTATTCCTTATCATTACTCTTATTATTATTATTATTATTATTATTATTATAATTCCTTATCATTACTCTTATTATTGTTGTTATTTTGAATTTGAAAGGGACACAATGCGAAGTGGCAAGACCTTGACTTTTAGATTGATCATGAATGTGACATTATTATGAGAATTTGAGAGTATTATTTTGAACAATTAGGTTATTATTCGGTTCACTAAAATACCCTTAACGTGAAAACTCCAAATTACTATAAGATAAAATTTTGTGTGCATGCAAAGAAATCTCATTCCTGAATAATCATTATGAACCTATTCATCAAAAACTTGATACCTACCTTTCCACAACCTTTTACATGACAAGGTGAGTACCACGTCTTTAACGTTACCATTTATTACACTGATTAAAACTATTCTCATAGTGGAATTGAATGAACTTACTCGACCTAAAAAGATATATAAAAATAAAAATAAAAAGAAAAGAAGAATTTAATGAGGCAATGAGCTTTGAATTGACTTGGTACCAAATGAAAGCAACTTTATGCATCAATATGCCCAAATGACAATAAATTCATTTTTCAATTTCCTTCTATTCTTATTTAAAAAAAGAATTAATTGCATTGGTGCACTCTAAACTTTAGTATTTGATAATTAGTTCCTAAATTTTAATTTTGACAAACAGGACTCTAAATTTAAAAATTTATCGCAATTATAGTCTAGTGGCTAACATACATCAATAAGAAGACAAATATTACCTACAATTTTTACACAAATATATCCTGAATTTTTCGTTGATTGACAAGTAATACCTTAAACTTTTTAAATTTTAACATTTTAAACGGTTGTTGATTAATGAACCAAACCAGCTATATCAGCTAAAAAAAACTGTTATTAATAATATTTCATATGAAAATTTTTGACTGTTATTAATAATATTTCTTATTCCCTTTCAAAAAAAAAAAACACTGTTATTGATTAGACTAATTGCCAAAAAATCCTACAGTATATGATTTTAAATGTCAAAATTAACAGCTTAAAATGCAACAGGCAAATAATGCTAAATTTAGCATGTATGACCGTAATTTACCTTTAAAAAATTGATGATAATAAATTCATGCTCTTTAAGGAACAAATTCTGCAAAAAAAGCCAAAGTCTATTGCAGTGTCTCGCTCACATGGCGGTATTGCCACCCCCACCAAAAATTCTCTTGAACGGGCAATTCTGAGAATCACTAGAAAGCCTAGGGCAGAATCGGTAAAATATAAAAATATATAAAAATATTTCACTTTGGTGAGCTGGACTTTGGAAAGCTGATTGACCCCCTGCAGTGTCTCGCTCACATGGCGGTATTGCCACCCCCACCAAAAATTCTCTTGAACGGGCAATTCTGAGAATCACTAGAAAGCCTAGGGCAGAATCGGTAAAATATAAAAATATATAAAAATATTTCACTTTGGTGAGCTGGACTTTGGAAAGCTG